CTCCTTTCCCTCCCTTTTTTCCTCCTATTTCTCTCTCTTATCTGATAAAAATTATTATTATTAGTGCGATACTGAAAATTGCATTTCTGATTACTACCAATTTTATTGTTCATTATCTCCTTTTTCCTCTATCTCCCTTTCCCTCTCTCTCTCTCTCCCGTTATCAAAAATTATTTTTATTCCGTGAATTTATTTACTCTGCTTTGTAATCAGGTTATACGACATTTTTCTTATTACTGCCAGAAATTTAACTCAGGTTAGGGTTATTTCGTCAAGTGTGCACATACATTCTCTCTCTTTCCCTGTCTCTCTCTCTCTCTTTCTCTATAGCTAAAGAAAGAAAGAAAAACGGAAAAAAAAATAAGAGAAATATGAAATTAATAAATCGGGAAACAGTTTGAGTTTGAATTGTAATTGTTTAAGGTTATAAAACATTACATCTAATATACATATTTATATTCCATGTAATTGGTATGTTTAATTCATATGTAGTTCAATGTTTACTCGTCAGTTTATGGTTTCTTTTCTTTTTTTTTTGAATTCCGAGAATTCGCGGATGAATTTTTTTTCTTGCCGTTACCAAATGATAACTTCCTATGGCATTCATTCATTCATTTAATCTAAAACATTCGATGTATGTTAACATCATATTGAACATATGTTAATTAATAAATGATTAGTGATAATAAAAAAGAGGATGAAATGATTGAAAGGGGAGAGCAAATAATATATGAGAAATATTTTGGTGATCGTTAATGTATCTCGTTACTAGTTACCGTAGTAATGTATAGGGATTGTAAAATTTGGTTACATGGATTCCGTTTTTTTTCATTTTTTGTTCATAATAGATAAATTTTTATGTTTTAAAATTATTTCAAGATTTTCCACTTCTTTTATATTATGATAAATGCCCTAGTGGTTTAAAAAAAAGAAAGAAATGTTTCCAAATTGTTTTTCTTTTTTATTCGCCTTCCGGTTATAATTTGATGTGTCCATCATCTTTTAATGGTTATCAGTAAATGTCTGTTTATATTATTCACTTTTTGTTTCCTCCATCACAATTCTGCAACTGTTTCATAGAAAAACCCTAATGAAGTGTGGAGAAAGGGAGGAAAAAGTCAGCACCTATAATAGCCTTTAATTTAATCACTGATATTACTAACATTTGAGTTAAAGCCTGAATTAGTCTGTTTTAATCTTCCCATTATTCTTACATGATATAGGGAAGTGTATGTGGGTATGGATTTCACAACTCAAGATATATCTCCTCGAATAAACAGTACAAGTCTTCACGATCTATTTGGTCTATGTGTTAGGTGGACAACTGGACGCTTCTATTATATTCAGTCGATAGCTCGATTACTATTATGGCACGCAAAAGATTCATTTGATGAGAATGATCGCGAAATTTATTGATTTGATCAGGATGGAACAATGTAATATTGTTTCTTGCAATGCAGACACAGAAAGTAAGTTACAAAATGAAACATGAATTCCCTCATAGGGAATATATTTTCATAACAAAGCCTTGCATAAAATTTGTACGGCAAGAAGAAATCTTATTGAGACCATAACGGTTATAGCCTTTTTAACAACACTCATTTCGACTACGTTTTGCCATGCATGTATGAACACAACAAAGTAATACAAGGTCAGTACAGTATTACAGAGTAAAAAAAAAATATAAAAAAAAAAAAAATACGCCGCCACAAGTATCTTCTTTGTCATCCTGCTGACAGTAAACTATCAATCAACTGTTATCCTACTAATATGACATGAAACTGGTACAATTATTCTCAAAATAAGGTAAAGATTTGAATATAATCATCTATCGATTGTGGCAACTGATTTTCCCTTCATTTTACAATTGGAACAATAAATGATTCACAAGAAATTTACTTCTTATAACTGCCTTATTTTTGTATCCCCAAATTTGCAGCTACACGAGATTTTCGAGGCTTTCTTCTGCTCGTTCTGGGAATGTCTGAAGTTGAGGTAGAATTCGGCGTACTTAGAGCGGAACAATTCCTGTTATCCAAATTCACTTCTGGATGGCTTTCAGGTCTACTTGCTTCCTTTGCATCACCTGGTGTAGCTGATCCTGCAGAAATAACAGGAGTATCGTGTCTTTGTATATAGTCCTCCTGTTCAGGTTTCCGTAACAGAATTTTTCTATTTGGAATCTGCAAGGCATTTCAAATTAAATTCAATTACTCAGTGGCGGATATACTGAAAACCGCTTCCTGAAATTTTAATACTTCTATGGCCTAGACTGATTTTATGTCACCAACTATACGGCTGCAAAAAAAGAATCTCAGTATTCTAAAATCTCGAATTGTTAGAATAAATAATATCAACTACCGATTCGGGCGAAAAACATGCTGCAGGCAATCCACCTGTATTACTTGATTCTCCTGAAGTATGCAATCGTTGTTTACTAAGCTGTTCAGTTAGTTCTTCAACAGTACTACCACTTTCCCAGAAAGTTGTCCCTTGCTTTCCATTTCCGGATCTCACCATTTTTTCTGATTCTTCTCGTTCAGTAGCAGTTTCAGTGGCACTAACCTCTCCCACATCCCGCGAATTGCTTTTTTAAGTAGAGTAATTCGCGCAGGCGATGAAGTCTTGGTCTTTTTTCTTGTGGCATTCGCTTCTGAATCCGAGTGGATTTAGAGCTAGACTGCTCTGTAGAGGCTCCTTCAAGAGAACATGGAAGATAATCTTTGGCTTTCACGGACTGACATCCAAACCATGCTCGTGGATATCCATGACGCAGTTTGTGGCTTTTCATTTCTTCACCAGCATCACGAACTGCTATTCCTCCTGTAAACTGACTGCCGATATTTTTATCAAAACCAGGTTGTTTAGAAATGACATTCCTGGCACCACTTAATCCAGCCTGTCCGTAATCTGCATTTCTACTAACAGTGAATTCTGATTGTCTCGACGACCTCCACATTTTGTCGTGATCTCGTGATAATCTATCGAATGTCGGATTTTTAAAAGCTGAGCTTTGCCCTTTAGACTGCAACCCAAAAACTCCTTCTGGCAAAGCATATTCTTGATGTGGATTAAAACCACTGCATAAAGGAATTCCGCTAATACCACCACTTTTTACTACCTTGTTATTAGCTCCTGTCTTCCCAAAACTCATCTCGTCTCGCATTTCTTGTGTACGTCGAACTACATTCGGACTCGATTTGCTTCCAAATGTTTTTCTTTCTTCTTCTAAGCCCTAAAATATTTTAAATTTTAAATTCCCCGATCCATAACCTCGTTATTCCAAAATATTTAATAGGCCTGCTGCTTCCATCAGCAGATCGTTTTATATGCTTAGTTGCTGGCATAATTTTATTTCAAATAAGAATCTAAACGAATCCATGCGTTTGAAAAAGGACGAAGTCATAATAGCACTTGCACCAATTGTGGCAAACGGATACATAGATGCAGTAGATGGATGAAAATGGATAACAGATTAAAAGGAATTAGAAAACTACCTGAAAACCTAATGAACTATTCATGAAAGCACGCGGAATCTAGCCTATGGTCTTCACTTCTCGCTCAGCATTTTTGTAACCTTGTCTTTTGTTATTTTATCACTATGTATAACTCACAACTGGGGCTGATTGGTTAAAAAAGGGAAGACGGCAAAATCAAGCCAAGATCAAAGGTGACTTCCGAATTTAATGATGGAACTACTGGTAGTAAGTAGATCAAGATGCAGACATAAACGGAATCTAGCTATCAAAAATTTGAATGTTAAAAATTTGAATACCAAATGATATTTAAATATCATTATACTTATATTCCAAAATTATCCCATCAATACTAACTATCAAAAGGACTAAGTAAACTACGTTTATGATCTGCAAAGAACAGAAAATCTAAAACTTACAGTTCCCGGTTTGGATATTTTATTTCTAGGAGCAGTTCTAGGAGCTCCAAATGGAATCTGCTGATGAAATCCACTTTTATTCAGGCATGTGTTATGTGGAAAATTCACTGGTTTACGTTTAGCTGTAACTGGGCTTACAGTATGCTCAACGACTGGGATTTCCTTTCGCATTCGTTTCCCATGTGTTATGTTAATCACTGAAGATATCGGCAGTCGAGCTCCACTTGCCTTACCACTTCTAAAAAGTAGTATTATCTTGTTTTTCTCAAATATCTTACAAATCTGAGAAAAAAAAAGTGCGTGATGAATAAGTATAATACGTGTATATGATAACGCTATTACAACTTCAGTATGGTCATTCATCAACATGTCAAGATTCTCAACGTTCAAACCGTTAAACATCTCGTTTAATTTATCAATTCATTAAATGATCGACTAGTATATCACACTTGGCCTTCGTTGGACAACAGACAATACCAGTCTCTCTGCTTAGTTCAATCTATAAGAATGTCCTACTCTCTTTTACCCAGCACGAATCTACGACATCACTAACAAATAGATCGAAAATTTTCTCCTAGATCGAATATTTGTCAAAAGAAAGGAAAAATTAACGAAAAACAAACCGCATAATCTTGCCTCCAAAATATGGTTTGTCAAACAATACATCGATTTTCTGCCCCGATCCTGTATTAAGCAGTCCAATAACAGTACCAAATTCGCCAAATGGTGCTATATGGAGCTTCTTCACGCAAATAACTCGATCCAGTAAACGAAATTCAGTTCCTGGATCCGGCATGATATCTCCTTTACACAGTTCTGTCTAAACTAATTTCATTATTTCAATGATATGGATTTTTCATCTTCCATCCTTTATAATGATTTGCGGAATGTTTTCGTTTTATTACTTTGATTGATCCTGTTTAAAGTAACGTACCATAAAAATAGCACGGGGTTTAACCGCAAGTCGTTTGCAAGTTTGTTTTAGTGTGCTTTTGGAGATAACGATCTGTGTTCGTTTTTCGACTTCCTTCAAAACGCCAGAGTCCACAAAAGTACTGTCAGCTGATTCCAGAGAATCTTTTGGCACAACAGTGTGTAAAAAGTTTTTCAATTCTGAATTATTGTACTTTCACTTCATTAGTATTTTGTTCGAATACCATAAAAACTACACCGACTTTCAAAATGGCATGCATAAGAAAATAAGGCGGTGGGACAAACCAACGATCTGGTTGCAATGTGACCTATGAACTTCATGATCAATTAAAGAAAATAAAAGAATATACAACAATGGTATTGCTACATTTAATGTTTACTTGATAATAGATTATTAATGACAAGTTATAACAAAAATTATATGGAAAACGGAAATCTCTGTAGTAAAGGAATCCTAGTTGAATTTTCATAAATTTACCTTCAAGTTTTGCATTTAATTCTTTTCCATCAAGTCCCGGGAATATCTGTTTGATATGTCCTTGGAAGTTATTCAGTTCCTCAAGATGTGTGAATACTCGGGGATATCTGCAGATACTGATTATGAAAGAAAAAAAAGTTAGTACGAGAAAATCAACCATGATTCTCATGGCGACCCAATGAGGAGGCCGAAACGCATTAATATTAATCCCAATAACTTTAATTTAAATTCAAATTATTTTGATTTTTTCCCGTCCTTTGCATACTTCATTTTATAATTTCGAATCATATCGAACGCTCTTGACGAATACAAGCAATGTCCTTCCGATGAACGACGTGTGAAATCTGGCACCTGAATATGGCTTTATTCATTTAATTTTTCTTAAAATTACCATGTATATCGCTATTTCAAAAAACAATTGCTGTCATAGATTGAAATCTAAGAACTTCAACTAAAATAAATCTGAATTTTCAAGAAATCCAAATTTTAAGATATAAATATAAGAAACAAACAATTTGATTCCTTTTTGTAAATTTCAATCCAAGACCAATATTGATTTTATTCAGCGGAACATTTCTTGATGATATTGAATCGGATTCATTCAGTGAAACATAAACACAACCAGTGATGCGACCAATAACATCAACGGTGGCTATAAATTTTTCTTAAAACTAAAACCGAACGTGATGCAAACAAAAGAAATCGAACAAGCATCGAATAGTGGTAAAAAACAGTTTCAAACAAGTTTATTCCTCCAGAAAAAATCTTAAACTTACTACGCAAAGACCTTGCTACTTCATATATGCTGTACCATTTCAAGGCATAATTGTCATAATTTGCTAAAATATCACAGAAGCTCATATCCACCGTTAATGGGATTTTACACGAAACAGTAAGTGTTCCTATAACAAAAACAAAGAATTCATCAATGAACAAAAAAAAACAAGAAATAGCTTAATAATGACTACTCATTAGTAGAAAGCAAAAGTGCTCTACCTTTCGTTGCTAGATGATTTTCCTTGATAAATCCACAAAAACCATAATATTTACTTTCAACCGAAGAAATGAAAATTTGGGCATTCATTGGATATAAATCCTCAAAGGAACATGCAGAATCCCAATCTTCCAGTGCATTCTGAAGAATTGAGTGATCAGGGTAAGATAATACGGCCCAGATACTGTCCAGAAATGTCTCACTCTATCTCGTTTTCACAGTTCACGTTGCGCCGATCACATTATTACAGAATAAAATAAAATGAAAATAACATAACAACACACTGACCTGTACCACAAGGGAAAGCGACACAGGAATAGCATTGTTAATATCAACATAAGATCGCTTAATTACGACTTTTTGTTCTTCGAAACATTTCCGCGATCCTTGTGCTACTTGAACTAAAGCCAAACCTTTCTGTTCACCAGCATCAATACCTCGCCTTTCGAACTCACTTTAAAAATAGACGTGCAAACTGATTATGTATAACTCGATATGATAAAACTAAACCTCAAAATTTCATGACCGCAGTTTAAAAGCTTAAATATCTCGCAAAATAGCCATAAAACGTAGAAGATTAGTGGCGCATGTTTAAAAAGCTAACTTTCTTCGAGTTATACTGACATAACCACTATACACATTTTGTTCTTCTTCCGACAGACTGTCGCAAATAATTTTTTCGTCACTGGTTTTGATATATCTAGAAAAGAACTGCATTTATGATCGAGACCATTAAACCTTATTTAGCACACCACATTTCCCCAGATTTTATGGGTTGCACAAAGAGGTTCACCAACCTAGGCACCAAACATTTCGTTTAACTAGAAATTATTTTAGCTGTATCAATCAGTGCAATGAATTTGAAAAGGCAAACTTTTCATGGTCAGTCCATATTTCCTGCACCCAAGCCTTCTGAAGCACAGGCCAATTCACATGTACTTCTGTTCCAACTAAATCAAATGCTATCGCCATCATATCCTGTAAAACAAATACAATATTTAGTGTCCAATATTTTCCATTTATATCTAACATTATAAACATCCAACATAAAAGACCATCTGGTCAATAATTATTAACTGTTATTACAATGAAGTTAAATACCAAACACCACTATTTAAATCTTTTTCAAATGGTTCTGTAATAATTTTTGGATTCCTTTAGTTAGCATGATCGAATTCACCCATTGAAGAGGTACTTTACTCTTTCCTGGGAAATCTTTTTTTGACATAGATTAGTCGTTTTGTTTTGATAACTGCTACTTTAAAACTTTATCCGAGAAATCTTCACAAAACGAACCTTTTCGAGTTCTGGCCTCTTTGTAATTCTTAGAATCATCGATTGCTTTTTAGATGGCTGCTGGAAGACTCTGATGTCCGCAAAATGAAGCTCAGCAATATGAGGTATATGTTTCAGCGTGGGGAAGCCAGGAAATATAACACCAAGCTTAACTCCAGGTAACAAACCATGCACTATTTGATTACGTGATATGCGAAATTGATTCATTCCTACTTCGTCTATTCTAAAATATCCATTTATTAAAAAAGAAAGGAACTTTAAATACAGATCCGAAAATTCTGAAAAATTTATATCCAATTTTTTGTAAAAGCGTATGCAACACTTACTTTACAGTGCATTCCTGAATATCAGGAAAAGTATCAGGGAATGTAGATTTCAGAATGTGTGATGATGAGGGGTCATAACTAAACAGCAGATGAGGACCATGTAGGTTTCTCTTTCGTTCCTTTAAAAATTTAATTATTACATAGGTTCAAAATAATCAACTGCTAACTATAAAATAACTAATCAAAAGGATAAGGAAACTACCTCATCAGTTAATAAAGGATCCTTGATAGCCATGGCTTGCAGAAGGCGATCTTCCCTAATAAACGGTATCAGAACAACCGCTTCCCAATCATTCTTTTTGCCATTCAAATCAGTGTCGAATTGCTCCGGATAAAAGTCAATAATTGGACTTTTTGGATCACTCATAAGCTCCTGGATTACAAATTTATGAATATACAGCTAAAATTATAAACTGTTCCCACTGTTAAACTTGAATGAAAACTTTAAGACTGCACCTAAGATACAGCATGCATGGTAATAATGATAATAACCAATATCAAATGCTAGACATATAATATCTGATATATATGACAATACCTATTTAACTTAAACAGATAAATTTTTATTTTTTATGAATACAATTAATCATCAGAAATGAAATTGTTGATAAAAAGGTACTTCTCAGATAGTCTTGAAAAACAATTCTAAATTTATTACTCGATAAGGAAGTGGCAAACAATCAGCACTAGCTGCAGGTAATACAGCCAATAATTGCTCAAATGGCTTAAATGGTTCACTTAAATCAAAATTCATTTCCATTTCAGCAAAATCCGAAACGTCCGATATGTAAGGAGCATAATGATGTGGATAAAACCTGGAAATAAAACAAAGTAAGAGAGTACTAGTATCGAGTCAAATTTCAGTTAACCCAAAAAATATAATGTTTCATAAAACATGTACCAACTCCAACTACAACATCCATGATAGTAGTAATGCAAATTCCATTGAATTGCACGAATGTATCCTTCCGCTTGTTCACGTAGTTCTTCTTTACTTATGTTACTATACTTCATCTTATCGTTATAATAATCACGCTTGTGATTCTTGAAGGCCCGACTAACCACTGGAGTCCAAGATGACTGCTACAAAAATAATTTAAATGGAGTGTGATGTTCTATAAAAACACTAAAAAACATTATGCATAAGTTGTGACAATTAAATGTTTGTAACTTTAAGCTTACATCATAATCATTTTCATAGCTTTCGTCATCTAACAGAGCAATAGGCAGGTCGTTATCGGAATCTTTGTCCAAACCAAAATATCCATCTAGATAAAAATATGTTTGAAATTTAGCAGCGAAACAACTGACCAAAAATAATTAATCAACATGAAAGTACTTTTTGTTCCTATATATCTGCGAACTTACGAGTCATTCTTTTAGCAGCGGTTAAAATCCTTGGACCGGCAATCTCTTCACATTCGTCAGAAGCATTACTGTCCGAATCAAATGCTCCTTTACGAGAATCTTTTTCAGTAATTTCAGTTTTTTCAGCATCAGAAAGGTCGAACGGCTCCAAGTCCTCATCCTGAAATATTCAAATATTGGATGAATGACTATTAAAGGTGTAAGTTTTTAAAAATTGGATTCTGTGTTTTAAATACAGTTACAAATATCAAACAGTGGAAAGTCAGAAGATCCTGACCTCAAATTCGAATTAAAATATTCAAATTCCATAAAAAGCAGTAAAAAACTAACACAGTTTTGCTGATCATTAGGGCCTTTTTTCCAAGCATTGGATATTCTTTTCGAACTGAGATATGCTTCATCATCCATTTGTTCGATAAAATTTTTCCTATCATTTTTTGCAAAATTTTTTAAGAAAATTTCAAAACGCTTCAAATTTAAAACACCCGCTTCATTGATATAACCTGCAAACAATATCAGTACACCTATACTACAACCATTTGAACACATTCAGCATAATATGTTATGCAGAAATGATAGAAAGAATTTCAACCTGTTTAGTCAATGAATGGGTGAATTTTCCTTAAAATTACCAGCTTGACAATTGAAAGTGAATTAATGCGATGAGACCACACTTACCATCCAACTGAGGTAGTACTTCGTTATAAGTAGCGTAAAGAAGCGGTAAAGCATCTTCATGAATATGAACATGAGGGAGGTGAGGAATAAAATCATTACCAACAAGAAAACCCATGAGTACCCAGTCATCAATCACTGACTCCAAATCGTATTCAAATGGCAGTTTTTCCTAAAATTTAAAACCGGATTTCATAAAATTTTCAGAGTGTGCTTAAAAAGTTTTTACAAGTAAGAAACGCAAAAAACGAAAAAATTACCTTCAATGAATGAAATTCCCATGAAAGATATTCTCGAAGCAATGAAAGATGCAATAAATGGAATGTTATTTCGTTTACTCCCGTTCTGAAATTTCGACCAGAATTTAGTGGCAAAATTTTGATATTAATCGAAAATTCAAGCCACCATAATTTGAATTCCAACAAACAAAATAAGGAAATTTTTTGCAGCATAACAATCGGGAAACATAAAACGTAGAAGTAACCGAAAAATTCCAAGCATAAGAGCTAGAAATTTTTGTACAGGCAGTATCAGAAAAATCTCATTGCTCTCAGACCAAAATTTTTATTATCTGACAGTCACACACTAACCACAATTTTCCAAACTGACGAATACATGAAGCTAAAAAACTGACTTATGTTTCCCATTATGATTCCTTTGTCTTCCGAATTTCACTTCTTCCCGCAGTAAAGCAAAATGAGGCTCATGTGAACATATTCCCAGCATTATCTAAATATATTGAAAATATTATAATTATTTTCATCAATTCTCCCATATGCTATTAGAAACTTGAAGGAAACTTGCCAAATCTGCATCAAGACCATAGAGGCAATGTCTTGTGTTAGCGTCATAATCAGAACGACTTCTTTCACTACGTATAAAATCCATTATCTTATGTTCACCTTCTCCA